GGCATAGAGTAAGCACTTAATAAGAACCACGTGGCTTAAACAAGTTCTTTTTAATTTTCTAATTTCACACATAAAACATCTGTGTGTGTGTATCTATGTATGCATGTATGTATACGCGCGCGCACACACACACACACACACACGTCTCAGTTTGACTGAGGCAACACCCAATCAGTGATTAAGGGTAGGTAAGAAATGAGGCAAAGAAAGGCCTGTTTTACCTAGCCAAAAAAAAATCAATCTGCGAGAGGAAGACCCTCAGGGTTTCTGGCCAAAACAGAAACAGTTGCTATTTACATTCACTCTGAGCCCCAACAATGACCAAGTGGGGCTTGGCCTGGGACCTATGTTGGCCAATCAATGAGAGCCAGAGTGATTTGGGTTTAAGGCATGATCCTTAAGAAAGAAATCTAGACTTAACCCCCAAGATACCTTGTGAGGTTTCAGTAATCAGAAGTTAGATTCTTTTGGTCAGAGTACCCGCAGGTGAGGGTGTAATACCCTAAGGCCAAGGTCCCCACTGCATCCTGGGCCATCTCCAGACTGATATCTTCCCACTGGACCCAGGTGGCTCTGCAGGAGAAAGTGAGGCTGGTGACTTTGCACAGCCCTCCCTCACTTAAATCCAATTCACTCACATGTCATGGCATCACCTCCCTGATGTCTCGGTCCTCTTCAAGAACGAAGGACAAACAACACACACACACACACACACACACACACACACACACACACACACACACACACTCTTTCACTTTTATTTAAAAATAAATAAATAAAGGTGAACCAATTCAGCAAAATTGTTTTAACAAACAATTCCAGTATTTAAAAAAGAGAAAAGGAAAACTCAATAACGAGGCAGACCATAAGAACGGAGCTGGTGCCCATCTGTCTCCAACAGTTCAGGGGAGTTTTCCTGACAGATGGTGTGCATGAAATAATGTCCAAAGATTTCCTTTACATTCTGGGACTCTGCTTTTCCAGCAACCAAAATGCCTCCGAACAGCCCATTCTGAAAGTGAACCGCAGAAAGCAGGTACTGGGAGGGTGAGAACTGTGCCAACTAGGAGAAGAAGTTGGGCAGCCTTCCTGGGTACCCAGGGATTCGCAGGCTTGCTCATTCGCACGTGCTCTTCTCCAGGTGAGACGAAGTAGAAAACACCGCCAAAGATCACCACAAGAGGGCAGATGGGCTACAGCCGCGGGAACTGAACACCTTCATTCATTAATTCTTTATTACATATCACAAACTTCAACGAAACAATATACTCCAGAAAAACGCTGCTCAGACAAATTCTGTACATTATTTTAGGAAATCAGCTTAAGAATAGAAACAAGAACTTCATCAAGGTAGCGTTCCTGACTTTTTAATTTAATTTTTTAAAACTATTTTTTTGTAAGGATGAGTGTAGATTCAACATGTTTTAATTATGAGTTGACTTCATATGTACCTACCTAGTTATGCTGCCCCCACCACTCTGTCTTCTCCAACTGCAAAGAATGGAAGCTCCTTGCTTAATATTTAAGCAATTCTACCTGTATTCTTCTAAAATAGAATTTGATAAATTCTATGTCTACAGCTAGCCATTAATATTATTATCATTATTTTTTTTATAATTATTTTGGCCCAGACCTGTGATTTCATCAGGGTAGGGAAGTCCTGGTATGGAAACTCCCTGCAGCACAGTCTAGAACAGTGGAAAGGAACCAAGGTTTGGATCCAGAGGGCCTGGGCTCATATATTCACTATGGAGTGAATACCTGTATGATGCTGGGAAAGTCACTATAATTTCCTCGGCTCCTCATCTACAAAAATAAAGGTAGGGGGATGAGTGAACTAGCTAGATGCCTCTCAGGCCCCTCCCAGTTTGAGTCTGTGGTCTCACTCTGCTCCAGACAGGCAGCTTGTCCATAGTTTACAGTCTTGGAGCATTGCTGCCTGCGGCACCTAGAGGGTGCCCAGAGTCACACCATCACCATGTGTCAGAGACAAGCTTCTTACCTCTGAGGCCAATGGGCCATCTACCACACTCTGCTACCTCTCATCTAATTATATATGTATAAATAATGTTAGTACTTCAGAGCCTCCAGTAAACAGTCTTGGAGCCAAGGTTGGCATCTTATTTCGGGCAGCTGGGAAATGAACCAAATTCAGCTTTTTGAGCCTGGGAAGGTCCATCTTCCAGGTTCCTAAACAGGGTAACATGTGTTTCAGCTCCCAAGCAGGGCTCCCTTAAAAGAGCCCTCTTCTCTTTCCTCATATATAGCAAAAGTCCTGTGCTTTAAAAATAATAAACCAGGGATGTAGTAGGACAGGGGGTAGTTTGTGCATATGTGGAAAACATCAGCTAAATCTGGCCAAACTTATTTTCCATTGAAATAGAACGTACACACACACACACACACACACACACACACACACGCATGCACACATGCACGCACATTTAGGGTCATAGATTTAGAACTAGAACACAGATTTAGTCATCCAGTTCTAAGTTATTCAGTAACAAAAAAAAACAACAAAAAAGCTTCATCTGAACGTTTCTAATTATACCTAGTTTTATATGAAGAACAGGAATTCATTTATAATGATGATAATAATGATTAGCATTTACATAGAGCTTTAAGGTTCACAAAGCACTTTGAAAATATTATCTCATTTGATCCTCATAAGCTAGTAGCTATGGTATCTCTATTTTCCAGATGAGGAAGCTGAGGCAGACAGAGGCTAAGTGACTTGCCCAGGGTCACGCAGCTAAGAAGTATCTGAGGCTGGATTAGAACTCGGGTCTTCCTGACTTCAGGCCCAGTGCTCTGTGCGCTCTGCTACCAAGGGAAAATAATTAGAATTCATAGGAACATAGGTTTTGAGCTGAAAGGCATTTTTGAGTCCACGTAGGAGAAAACTGAGGACAAGAAAACTTTCCCATTGTCATACGTTAATAGGTGTCAGTGGTAGAATTTGAACCCACATCTTCTTTCCTCAATCCTGCACTCTCTTTATTATGCTACACTTTGTGTATGATACAGTAACATCTCAGTCATGCCGCATAAGTTGGAAGGAATGGCTTTGAAGGGAGTTCTTCTGTATCTTCCTTTCCTGTAAGACCATCTGGTCTCCTTTCTTGCCGTTAGCGTGCCTACCCAGAAAAACCTCACACTCCTCTAACTGGTTGCTTCTGATTCACCAACAATGCATTAGTGTTCCAATTTTCCCATACCTTCTCCAACATTTATAATTTTCCTGTTTTTGTCATGTTAGCCAACCTGATAGGTGTGAATCGATACCTCAGAGCTGTTTTAATTTCCATTTCTTTAATCAACAGTGAATTATTAGTGAATAGTGAATAGCTTTTTATATGACTATAGATAGTTTTGATTTTTTTTCTTCTGAAAATTGCCTATTGATATCCTTTGGCCATTTATTAATTGAAGAATGATTCTTATTTTTATGAATTTGACCTAGTTCTCTATATATTTGAGAAATGAGGCCTTTATCAGAGAAACTTGCTGTAAAATTCATGGGACACTAATGTACTGTTGGTGGAGTTGCGAACTAGTCCAATCATTCTGGAAAACAATGTGGAACTATGACTAAAGAGCTATAAAACCATGCACATTCTTTGACCCAGGAATACCACTACTGGGTCTGTATCCCAAAGAGATCAGAGAAAAGGTAAGAGTACCCATATGTACAAACACACTTATAGTAGCTCTCTTTGTGGTGGCAAAAAATTGAAAATTGAGGGGATACCCATCAATTGGGGAATGGCTGGACAAGTTGTGGTATAGGATTGTGCGTATTATTGTGCTGTAAGAAATGACAAGTAGGATGGTTTCAGAAAAACCTGGGAAGACATATATGAACTAACACAGAACAGAGCGACCAGAACCGGCACGCGCTCGCGTCTCCTCACCCACAGCCACAGTCTGGGCCCCCCATCTAGTACCAGCAGAGGAGCGCTCTGCATCCTTCCCTGATCGGCCATCCGAGCCCCACATTGTCTGTGGGGTGAACATTCCTGAAGCTGAGGCTGCCACCCCCACGGCTCCGCACTGTTGCACAAAGAACCGTGAAGGACTTAGCTCTTCTCTGCAATACAACGATGAAAGACAATCCCAAAGGACTAGTGATGAAACCTACCACCCACCTCCAGAGAAGGAACTGATATTGACTGAATACAGACGGAAGCATGCTGTTTTTCACTTTCTTTCTTTCATTTTTTTTTCTTTTACTCCAGTCTTCTTATACAAAATGACTAATATGGAAATGTTATATACAACTGCCCATGTATAACCTGTATCTGATTGCTTACCATCTCAAGAGGGGGGAGGGAGGGAGAGATAGAATTTTGGAACTCAAAACTTTAAATAAAAATGTTTAAAAAATTAGAAAAAACTCACTCAAGTTTCCCTGACCTAATTCCTTCATTTTACAGATAGAAAACTGAGGCCCAAAGAGGGAGGGTGATTCATCCAGGATGGCACAGTTGGTAAGTGCCAGGACATCTCAGGTGTTCTTGACTCCAACTCCCAAGTTCCTTTTACACACCTCACCTGCTTCTTCTCCCGGTCATGACTGGCCAGGTCGAGGTCATTCTGTGTTTTCAGTCATTTCCATTCTTTAGTTCATTCCAAGAGAGGCATGAGCAACCCATAGGCTACTTCCTACCCAAGTGTATAAACTTGCGATTTTCTGAAATGTAATTGGGTTCCAGGACAATATTCTAACTGAAAGGCGAAGCAGGGCAGTTCACTTGTTATGTATGAGGGAGCTAATTTGGCCACAGAATATAAAACCGGGTATGTATCGAAATGAAAATGAAAGTTCCTTCCCTCCAGCCCCACGTTGGTAGATCACCCTGGAAAGTCAACTGCTGTTCCATTGAGTTAACAACAAGCTGAGACACTCGTGTTCAGAGTCCTTCATAGTTAGCATCTTTGGCCTTTATACCTCCACAGTGAGATTAAGAAATCATTTTGAATTTAAAAATTATTTTGCTTCCACTAGATGAACAAAAGTGATGTCCCTTCATCTTGGCTGATTTTCTATTAATTTTCAGTGTTGCCTCCTTTCAAAACAAGAACAGATAGCTTCATGTCAATAATTTAGAGTTCAATCTGAAGGAGACTGCTTTTGTGGATTTAATTTTTCATTTAAAAATACCTAATCTTCTGCCCCTCAGTGTATTCTGGGGGTTCACAGGCCTAGGATCTAATGCCATCTAGTCTGGTTTAGACCAAATACAAATTGAGGAGCAACCTGTTCAATCGACTTTGACTTTGTATTTGAGTTCATATCTCAACAGTTCCGGGATTTTCAGACATTGGCTAAATTGTGAAAATGAAATGAAACAAAGGCTTAGCTGGAAATATTCAGCTGATGTTTGTGAATCCACAAAGTCGGCATCGTCATGCTCTCAACACTAGACTAGGACCAGAGTTCAAGTTAACATTGCAAAACGGTGTTGGGATCTCTCTTTGAAGAAAAATAATTTTTAGAGTGGGGCAGCTAGGTGGTACAGTAGATAGAGCACCGGCCCTGGATTCAGGAGGACCTGAGTTCAAATCTGGCCTCAGACACATAACACTTACTAGCTGTGTGACCTTGGGCAAGTCACTTAACCCCACTGCCCAACCAAAAAAAAAAAAGAAAAAAAAGAAAAATAATTTTTATATCTTTGTTTTTATATCAACATTTCCCTTTGACTCTCTTCTTATGTCCCCTCCCAGAGAGCCATCTTTTATAATAAAGAATAAAAGAGGAGGAAGAAAGAAAAACAGTTCCATAAAACTAACCAATGTATCAAAAAAGCCTGGCATTATTGTGCAATGGAATCCCTTCTCTCAAGCAAACCTGAATGCAGAATTTCAAACATAAAATAAACACCTTTCTATTTATATTACATTATAGACATAAGTAGCCTGGTATCAAGTAAATAATACTGGCTTTGAAGTCAGGTGAGAACCATGCTCAGATCTTGTTTCTGGGACTACTTAACGACCAGAGGCTTCAATTTTTCCTTCTATAAAATGGGGATAATTCTTTATATTACACTTACCTTACAGGGTTGTTTGAGGATAACAGCAAGTTAAGATATGTAAAAGGCTTTGTAAACCTTAAGTGTCTTTATGGATGTTAGTTATTATCAGTACTAGAATTCAGGACTAGAGTAATTTTATGAAGGTGATAAGACTTATCAGTTTTGTTTATCAGAGTTCAAATCTATTGTCCATTTAAATAATCCACACAAAAGGAGAAGATAAATTCTGGGAACTATGAGCTTGGAATAATGGAATCCTCTTTAAGGGGAGGGCTGAGAAAAGACCCTCTCCTGATGATGGAGGCCATGCATCCAACCAAGCATCAAAGAAGGATCCCTTCACTGGGTGGCACAATGGAGTGAGCACCTCTGATGTGTTCCACTGAAGAAGGGAGCCAAGGTGCAGTGAGGTGGCTCTAGAGTCAGGAGGACCTGAGTTCAAACCTGGCCTCTGACACTTGATATTTACTAGCTCTGTGACCTCGGCAACTCATTTAACCCCACTGCCTAGCAAAAAAGAAGAAGAAGGGGGCCAAGAATGCAGAATCTCTGGAAAAGCCTTGGGAATTTAGTCGATTCCAAGCTTATTATGAGTTAAGAGTAGGAAAGCTAAGGCAATACTGGGCCACTGTCAGAGGCCTAGTGCTCAGGACAGAGAGGTAACGTCCTTCCTGCTGTACTAGGCTTTGGCCAGACCACAAGAGGAGTACCATGGGCAATTCTGGATACAGTATTTTAGGAAGGGTATTGAGAAGCTCAAGCGTATCCAGAGGAAGACAACCAGGCCACAACTGAAATAACTGAATAGCAACAGATATATACATAATTGCATACATTCATGTATTTATGCATTTTATAAATACATACAAATACATACAAATGTGTATGTGTATATGTATATAAAACAATATATAGCACATATACTATGTATGAATATGGAATATGTATATATTAAACATAGCTAATGTAGGAATTTGTCTTGCTGTATTCTGCAGCTATATATTGAGGACTTTATTTTTCTGGGTTTTTTGTTCATGGCAGGAGGGAGTAATGGGAGGAATCGCTTAATTTTAAATTGCTTGTTAATTGAAAAAATAAAAATAATCTGTTTTTAAAAATAAAATTTAAAAAAAGAAATTTCATCTTGGATCAGATGGAGGAGGGGAGTGACTGTGAGCAAGGAAGCCAATTAGAAGTGTTTTGCAATAGTCTCTGGGAGAAGCAATGAGAGGCTGTGGTAGAGTGGAGGCTTATTTTAAAACAGCTAGCAAAAAGCTTACATCCTTGACAGAATCCATTGGGTAGTAGTAGAGGGAACCCTAGACCAGGATTTAGGAGCCCTGAGCTCTAGTCCAGTATCTGCTTCTGGTTATATACCTTAAAGAAGTGACGTCCCTTTTCTAGGCCTGAATTACTTCATCTGTAAGATAAGGGGTTTAGATTATTCTCTAAGGTCCATTCCAGCTTTAACAATCTATGACCTGTAACTTCTCCTTGGCAACCCTTGGTTTAGTGCTATACCATATTCTTAGAAGTAATAAAGCTACATTTCTTTTAAAAAAATAAAAATAAAATAACTAGATGGCAAATAAAAATCCATACCTTCACTGCAGTTTTTTATTGCAAGACTTTCATTGAAAGTTGTTCTTGAAACTACAGGTTCAACTCTATGATGCTTAATGTTCTGCCCTCCTAGCACACCCCTGTAAGAGCGCTACCATGTTTTTCCATGTACTTGGGCAGACCTTGACTGCCAATGTTCAGGTAGCCAAGACAGGTTAAGGCTCATGAACCATTTGTTACATGTATGTTACTAGAATAGATAGCATAGTACAGTGCCTAATAGCTGGTCTCAAAAGCCAGGAATACGTGGGGTCGAGTCTTGTCTCTCAGATATACTGGCCATGTAACCTTGGGCAAGTCGCTTAATTTTAATTTCTAGGCAACTCTCTAAGGCTGTAAGCCTTTCACTGATACAGGATGCTTCTTTATCTAGAAGTTCTCTGAATCCATGAAATCATGGATACAATCAGAATTTCAGCCATGGTGAACTCTTCGTGACCCCGTTTGGGGTTTTCTTGGCAGAGATACTGGAGAGGTTTGCCATTTCCTTCTCTAGCTCATTTGACAGATGAGGAAACTGAGGCAAACAGGGTTAAATGATTTGCTCAGAGTCACACAGCTACTAAATGTCTAAGGCCAGATTTGAACTCATGAACATGAATCTTCCTAACCTCAGGCTAGGTGCTCTATCCACTATGGTGCCACCTAGTGGCCCCGTTTGTGACTATAATAGAATTTAGCTACTATTTCACAAAATGACAGAATGCAGAGGGAAACAAGAAAATGAATAATCTTTTGAATTCATTTTAGTTTCTATAAGGCAAAGAATGAATTATGTGATGCTGGTCTATTGTGCCCAATTACTTGAAACATTTACTAAAGACTCCATGGTTACAGTTCAGGAAGAAAGTTCTATTTTGTTGTAAATTCTTAGAAAATATTTACTTTTGCTTTTCGTTGTTGCTGTTATTTTGGTTTGGTTCTTTTGTGCGTCTTTGAGCCATGTTAAGATCTCTGACTGTTTCTGTGCTTTCAATCACTGGGCAATGGGATCCTGGGAAGGACCTCAGAGGTCATCTATTCCAAATCCATCATTTTTACAGATGAAGAAACTGCAGCTCAGAGGCTGCACAATTAGCAAAAAGCAGATACAATTCGCACTCAGATCTTTGGACTCCAGATCTCAAGCCCTTCTCACTGTCCCAAGCCGAGATCATCCCTGGACCCAGGGGACTAGAAAGGGGAGGAGTCATAGGACCATGCCATGTGAGGCTCCCTTGAAGGCTCACTCTAAAGATGAAGCGACCTTGGCTGGGAAGAGAGGATGGACCCTATAGCTGTTGTCAGCTATTTGAATGAAGGTCATTTGGAAGAGCCATTAGACCACCTCTGTTTGGCCCTTGAAGGCAGAACAGAGACAATGGATGGAAGACTGAGATAAAAATCTTCCCATCAATTAGAATCATTCCAAAGTAGAAGGAGGTGACTTGGGAAGCAATATGTTCTCCATCACTAGAGGTCTTCAGGCTAACTTGGTGACCACTGGTTGGCCAGGCTATAAAGGAAGTCCTCATTCAGGTGAGGATTGGATTGGATGACAGGGAAGTCTTTTCCAGCTTTCTATAAAGTACCTGTATTTGCATGTTATGCATGGAGTAGATACTGACATCATTTCCTCCCCACCCCTACTCTCTTCCATTTGAAGGTGGCCAGCTGGACCCAGGAGTATATTTAGCTATGGCAGCAGTTTCTAAAGTCTATTTGCTCTGAACTGGAAAGAAAATTATATTCCAGTGACATTAGCTATCTGTTGTGCTATAGTGGTGACTTATTTGTAGTAAGAGAAGTCATCTTGGGGGCTGGAGGGGTGGGACAAGGCTGAGAATCTTGGTGTCATTGCCTTGGAGGGGCAGCCAAGCCTAAGGTGCTCTGGGAGAAGATGAGGCCAGGGGGCATCATTCCAGAGACAATAGTGCGCTCCTCACAAAATCTGGAGCCCATTTGTGCTCATAAACAATCAGCCAGCCCTTTGGACCATTTTCCCAGAGGTCACTTCCTGGGGCTATTCCTTAAGTTTCCCTGGCTCAGCTCCATCTGTTCATCTGGAATGGTTTTCCAAAAGATGGTCAGAGGGAAGCTTTCTGGGAACAAATAGGGTACCCCTCCCTGCACCCCCTTCAAAACAATAGGAAAAATAGAACTTGTAACAAGCTTCTGCTAGGTTATAAAATTCAGCCAAAGAAAGGATGGGAAAAGAGATGCTTTCAAGGACACATTTCCTGATCTGATGGATAATTTCCCATCCTGAGAGGACCACGGGAAGACAGAGGCAATGATTTTCATCTGATTCGAGACAAAACTGCCCTGACAAAAGTCTTTCCCCAGGAAAGGCGATTGTTAGGAAAGTTATGCACCCAAGCGACACATCACAGTCTACAAAGTCAGACCCTGCCTCTGGCATTGACCCTGGGCAAGTCATTGTCCCCTGGGCCTCAGTTTCCTCATCTTTAAACAGACAAGGTTGGGCTAGATGACCTCTCTGTAGCTCCATAGAACTCCAGGGCCTCAGCTGGAATGATGCACACGTGAGCTGAGAGACAGACTCCATGGCCTCTGGGGTCCTTTTCAACTCTACATCTATGATCTTTCCCCAATTTTTTAAGCTCTTCACGGAAAGGAAAAGTCATCAGTGTGCAAACTGTGCCCACCTGTAAGATGAAAAATCAAGGGCAGAGTTAGGATGTGTGAGGGGGGTGACCACCTCAGCTCTTTTTGGGACATCAAAGGCCTTCCCTGCTCCAATGAGCTAGACTCTTACCAGGCAGATTAGGATGTCGAATCTTAACTGCCAAATGGAAGGCAGGGAACTTGGTTGCAGTGTAGGTTCCAGAAGATATATATAATAGAACAGATAACAATTCCTGGTCATTAGGTCAGAAAAAACCCTGTTCAGAGAAACAAGTAATTCAGTTTGGACCTAAAGGTGTCAGATGGGAAAAATTTTTTAAAAGACAGAAAACTGCAAATGGCCAATAAGAAGCCATGGAACAATGAGCAGTGTTCGCATTTGTGCAGCACAGCTTCTAGATCAAAGAGGAGGCAAAATGGAAAAGAAAAGAAGTTACGGATTCTATGCATAGAATGCTGATGGACTCCATGACCAGCTCGAGAGGTTTCCCAATCCCAGAAGCCAATATGTAGGAGAATTATAGTCCTGGGTCCCATCCAGAACATTCTCAAGTCAGTACCTCTGTCTGGAAGTTATCAGCATGTCAGATTCGGGGGTTAACGTCGATAGATCTCCATGGGAAGTTACCATGGCAACTGGATGGAAAGTGTTAGTCAAGAGAATTTACATCCAAATGAGCTAAAACCACCCATTCTCCAGTTCCCCTAAGGCAACAGGAAGGACAGCCACACATGGTAAAGATAGAGTTGCTCCCAGGTATAAAATCTGGGGACCAGGTGGAACAGAGGAGTAAAAGAGGGGATGGTCTCAGATCCACAGGGGAGACAGCAAAGTCAGCCCTACCAAGCCACCATTGGGCAGGAAGTAGACATTTGTTCATTTCAATGGCTTTTATCCATACTTCTTCAAAACATCATTTAACAAATGAAATGGGATTTGTTTTTTTATTTGAAGTGTACAGAAACCAAGAAATCCCTACCTTAGGGGCTGCCCGGGGGAGATTTGCCCAGAGTCATGGAGCCAGTGGGTATCAAAGGTAAGACTTGAATCTAGCCCACTGTTCACCGAGTCATATTGTCTCTCAAAAAGGAGATTAGGCCTGAAAAAATGATCTTATTTGAGCTTTGATCTGGACATACTAGTGGGAAATCTACGCCTTTTAAAAATTCAATTCCTTAACTATTCTGCTGTTGTTTAGTCAACCAGTCATGTCTGACCCTTCATGATCCCACTTGGCAAAGATCCTGGAGAGGTTTTTCATTTCCTTCTCCAGCATATTTTACAGATGAGGAAACTGAAGCAAACAGGGTTAAGTGACTTGGCTAGGGTCACACAGCTAATGAGCATCTGAGGTCACATTTGAACTCAGGGAGATGAGTCTTCTCGACTCTGGGCTGGCGCTCTGTGCACTATGGTGCCACCTAGCTGTCACTCAACTACTCTATAGTTAGCCATTTATTTAATACCACATCTTAGAAGTTTACTTTTATAAACACTAAAACGAGAACCCTTCCAAGTAACATTTTATAAACCTCTTTAAATGGGTTTTAGAAGAAGAATTCTTCCCTGCATTTCCAGGGAAGTCTTTTTGGAACATAAATGAGGGCAGGGACCACATCCTCTACCATGCATAGAACCAGTACTAGAGTGATATAAGCACGCTGGCGCTTACGCAGAAGCGAAGGTCTAATGTCCTCCTGCCCCCTCACCTCCACACTACCAGCACAGGACCCTCATCTTGGTTTCTGTGACCTAACGTGTGGCCAGCCCTCATTTAGAGAACGCTGGAAGGCAGGCGTAGCCCAGACCTCGGCTGGGCTCTGGATTGTCCCATTGTGGCCAACGGCTTTTGATGCCTAGAGTAGTGTGGCCGATAGGTGCTCGATAAATGTTTACTGAACCATCAGTGGGGAGCCCACGGGGATTAGAGCATTTGCCCTTTCCTATTTTATGCCTAGCTATTACGGCTTATACCTGGTTCTGTCTTAGGGAAGCCTGACCTCCAATTAGGGAGATTAAGCTTCCCATAGTCCTGGGACCATTTACAAACCCCACTCAGCATCCCAAGGACTTTGTTAATTATAGTATTGGTTATGGGTCACACGTCTAAGGGGGTCCCCAAAGAAGGGGCTTAAATTAGGCATCCATTGTGTAAACATCGGACAAGTAGTTTATTCCTACAAAAGAAAAAATAACGCTAAGCACGAGGAAATCATAGCAAGCGTCAACAAAATGATTAGAAGAGAATTCAACAGCTAAGCTTCTAACTATAGTTACAGTTAGTTGGGAGGCTGACATTTCTGTCTCACCTGAGGATAAAGCGGTTTTGCAGAACTGCTCATTAATAATTTCCTGTGTTGGGCGTGTCTCATCCAACAGCCACGCTTGCCTTCCTTTCCATGGCTGACCACCTCGCTCCAGGGGACAGTGCAGCTGCCGCCTCGCAGGATTCCCGGGGCATTCTCATCTGGGACTCACAGGGTTCTTGGCCAAACCTGAGCTCCTTCCCCTAAGATCAGATGAGAAAGGAGGGCAGAAGCAGCGAAGGCCCCCCCTGTGAGCCCACCTAGCATGAGTGACTCTGGGGTTGTCATTCTCTGCTTCTCATGAAACCCACATGATGCCACCTGCAGAGGTGAAACTGGGAGGGTCCAGGCAGAAACCATCTTTTTTTTAAGTTCCACTGAGTCATCAACCAATTGGGGGGCCCTTTGTTATCTGCAATTGCAAACCCCCAGCCCTCTAGGAGCTGGCTGCAGAGCTGTGGTCAACTAAACCTAACCCAAAATAGCTGCACCCTCTGAGGGATGGCCCCTCTGGGCTCTTTCAGCCCACGGGTATTCAATAAAAGCTTGTCGAGCAAGGAAGAAAGTAAGAGCAGGAATCATAAGATCTAGAGCTGGAGAGGACGTAGAGATCACCTGTCCCTATTGCTGCATTTTACAGATGACAAAACTGAGGCCCAGACAGGGAAAGGGACCATCCCAAAGGTCATGCAGCAGACACAACAGAGCTGGAATTCCCTCGGGGTTTTAAGCATCTATGGCTCAAGCTGAGATCATCCAGCTCAGAGTCCAACCAGCCCACCCCTCTGCCAGGCCTAACACTCCCAAGTTGGGCCAAACCAGGTCAAAATATAAATGGCAAGCACTTCACAAAATAAATAAAAATGCAGTGCAACACAGATGATGTTAATTTGTGGTTTTCTAAGTCCATCTGTGGCTATCAGGGACCCTTATAGATGGGCTAGTTCATTGAATTGGATGCAGCTGACCTAGTGCATCCTTCTCATTTTAAAGATGACTGAGGCTCAGAGGGGTAGTGACTTATTCAGGCTTATACAAGGCAGAAGAGGCAACGTCAAGATTTGAACCCAGTTCCTCCTCCTCTAGAGCTAGGGCTCTCTACACCGCACTCTGCTGCTGGCATTTTCTGTTCTAGAGGGAATCTTGCTTTCTCTTTTCTTGGAGAGCAGGAATTCAGATGACGTTATTAAAGACATTCTTCCCAGGCCGGAACCTGAACTCAGCTCCCGACTCTGATGCTTACTACCTGTGTGACCTTGGGAAAATCATTAACCTCTCTGTGCCTCAGTTTTCTCCCTTATAAAATGGGGTTTGGACTACATGGCCATCTTTCTCTAGCCCTATGATGCTAAGAGTAAGTCAGAAGCCCCGAGTTTGAATCTTGCTCAGATAATAAGCAAGTCTCTCTCTCTCTCTCTATGGGACTGGCGCAACTCTCTTATCCAGCCTCATCTCCGACAGCTGGCAGAGATCAGCAGCAAACAAACTGGACAGCCACCTCCAGAGGCCATGCCAGCGCTCTCTAGGCTCCAAAATAGAAAGGGAAAGAATTCCCAGTTGGATAAGTGCTGAACCATGTGTCTGAAAGACTTAACAAATCACCATCAAGGAATTGGGGCTGTATTTGGTCGGGTTGTTTTTTCCTTTTGGCCTGCTGGTGCGGACCCAACTTGCCAAAGAATGACTTCACTTGCGATGCTGGCTGTGGGATGTTTCCCAGCTGACATTAGCTGCTGCGTGTTTCTTAAAACCCATTTCCTGCTTTACATAGCAACAAAACCAGGATATAAATCCACCAGTTACACATATTCAATATTTTCGCGTTCTCAGGAGTTATTTATTGTATGTGTTCACATACGCTGTTTAAGGATCAGTAGTTGAGAGGAGGTAATGGTGGCTAGAGTACTGACCTAGAGCCTGGAAGACTCAGGTTCAAGCCCTGGCTGTGTGACCTTGGGAAAGTCCTTTCCCTTCTAGAGTCCCAGTGTCTATTATCTGTAAATTCAGATAATAGCATTGTTGGAAAGATCAAGTGAGAATGTCTACAAAGTGCTTTACAAACCCTGAGGCCAGACAGAGATATAGCAGAATACATACACCAGTATACACACCCATCTGCATACACACCCACATCTGTATAGCGCAGGCAAGTCTCTATACACCCATCTGTATACACCCATCTGTATCTATATATACACTCATCTGTATACACACCCACATTTGTATACAAACTCATATCTGTATATACACCCATATGTATGTATATACTAGTCATAGTGAGGCTGACAACTTTGCAGAGCTCTGCCTCACTTAAATTCACTGGCTAGTCATCATCGTGTGATGTCATTGGTCCTCTGCAAAAACAAAGGATGAACAACAATATTATTTAACCAAAATTGCTCATGAATAGGACGTTCCTCTCTGAACTACATGAATTTTGAAAATTTAATAAAAGAAATTCTAGCGAGCTAAAAAAAGAAAAGTTGTCAGCTTAACCACACTGAAATGAGCAAGGCAAAGTTTCTAAGTGGATTTTTCACCCAATCCAAATCAAAAAACATCGTGTAGTTATTTGTGCAGGACTTAGGATTGTAAGGTACATTGTCTACTGATGAGGCGCTAACTTATCAATGTGATGGGACTGGACCTGGGATTTAATCACCATAGGGGACTTTCAGGTGAGGAACTTCCCTCTAGTGAGACAGCTGGCACCAAGAGATTAGGTGACTTGCCCAAGGTCCCAGACAGTTTGGGTCAGAGGCAACTCTTGAACTCAGGGCTTCCTGACTCTGAAGCCAGCTCTCTGTCAACTACTCCACACTCCCAATAATCCCCTAATTCTGGATGGCCTTCATGTAACCCCTCAACCTTTACAAAGAACTTTACGTTATATCATTTATTCCTCAAGACAATTCTGTGAGGTTAGTTCTACTATTGACAGATAAGTTAAGTCTAGGACTCCTAAAACTCCCCAAACCACAATAAACCAATAAGTCAACCCCAAAGATGAGACAAAACTTCTTTCTACATAGCCCCCAAGAAGTGATCATCCACCCTGGGCTTAAAGGCCTCCAATGGGAAAGAACCCACCTTCTCCCCGGTTAGCCCACTCCGCTGTGAGATGGTTCTATTTCTTCCCTATCATTTCAGTCGGGTATGATTCTCTGTGACCCCATTTTGGGGTTTTCTTGGCAAAGATACTGGATTTTGCTGTTTCCTTCTCCAGCTCATTTTACAGATGAGGAAACCGAGGCAGAGAGGGTGAAATGACTCGCCCAGGGTAACCCAGCTAGTAAGTGTCTGAGGCCAGATTTGAACTCAGGAAGATGAGTCTCCCTGATTCCAGGCCTGGTGCTCTGTGCACTGTGGCGCCCCCTAGCTGCCCTTGGAATTTTTTTTTTTACTAGTAATTTACTAGGAAATATAAAGTAGAATTTGTCTCTGCAATGTCATCTTCCTGCTGCCAATTTTGGGGCTAAGCAAAAGTAACATGTAATCTGTCCACATGGCGGCCATCAGGGCATTTTGGGCCAACTGTCTCATTTTATAGATTGGGAAACAGGGCCAGAAAGTAGAAGTGCACAGCTGATATTCAGGACCAGGACTTTGTTAAATAACCATTAAAATGGATCTTTATTCCCCCTAGGTTTCATTGTGTTCTATCACACTTTTGCTTCACCAATGAAGAGGCAACAACAGATAATCAATAAGGGTGGGGGCCTATGTGTGCAGAAGGTTCCACACAGTCTCAGACAAAGTTGTGGCGTCCAAAAGCTTTGACTGTTTTTTCTTTGTTACAAGGAATGTTGGCATGCCTATGGCGAGAATAACTGTCATGGGTTGGAGGGGACGGTGGTGTTAGGTGTCAAAATAAAAAAATTAGGAGTGCTGGGCAATGGATTAGAAACCCAAGGTCTAATCTCAGATTTTTCATTAACAAGTATCATGAGGTCTTGGGTGAGCGATTCCCTCTTTCTGGGTCTCAGTTTCCTCATCTCTAAGATGAGGGTTCTACAAGCCTTCATAGTTCTTTGCTTCTATCAAGAAAACTAGCTTTCACCAAAGAAGAAAGAATTTGGGTCCTTCTTAGAGATGTTATTATTCCTTTCTACTTCTAAGCAATGAATAATGAAACAGAGGTCAGAGCAATTGGCTGCCATTTGCAGACAAAGGGAGGAATCCATCATGCTGTAAGCGGCATTTCAGAGTGCCTAAAGGAGGACTAGGCTAGGATAGAAAAGACAAGTGAGCAGATGTACAGCTGGCTGGCCCCAGATTTTAATTAAGACCCATCTTTTTTTGGTCCAAACATTGGGAAGATGGCAGCCAAGCCAAGGAAAGGGAGAAAGAGATGTGCGCCCACACTCTTCCTCCAATACAAACACACACGTCTCTCCAGTCTGTTCTCCATGCTACGTCGGAGCACTAGGACATGCCTGCTGAATGGATTTCTTGTGTATTTCTCTTGGCACAATAGCTGTATTTAATGTAACATCCACTAAAGCAGGATTTTTAATTAAGTTTATGGCCTGACCATCTGTATTTATTTGGAATTTCTACCTCTTCAAAGGAAGAATGTGAACCTGGTTTTAGCCCTGGAAATATCCAACGTCACAAGCAAAAGCATTGTCAGCATCTTGTGGGGGTATGGGTCACGGCACTGTGCGCAGAGGGCTGGCCTGGACACCAGGAGGCCCTCCTTTGACGCCCTCTAGATGACCCTGGACCAGTCACAGTTGCTTTAGGCAACTTTAAGATGAGAAGATGTCCACCTGAATTGGGTGAGGTCCTTCCTCAGCATCATCCCAGGTACAGTCCTTAGCCCTAACACATAAAACAAGATAAAGAATATTTACAATCCATAATCCCCCTGAGATTATTTCCAATTTAATTTCTCATTATATTTGTACATGGTCGCTTTCACGTTGCCTCCTCCATTAGACTGTGAGCCTCTTGAGGTCAGGGACTTTGTTTTTGCTGGCACATAGTAGGCATTTTATAAACACTTGTTGACTCATTGACATATAACCTAATTTTTATAATTAAATAAATATCCCAATTAATATCTCTGCGTATGAAGTATGGTCTTAGCAATTTCTTGGTCTCTGCAAGCCCAGGAGAATACACAAAGGCTCAGAAGGCAATGTCAAGGATGCAGCTGCCAGTGACCGAGATGACCCCAGTAATCCTTACCCAGGTTATTTGGTGCATTCGGCCCCTGAGACCTCAGGAAGCTTCCAGCACAGCTCAGTACAAGGTGTCAGTGCCTGGAACTTTTCAAGCGCTTAATAAATATTTATTGACTGACTAACATGCCTGATGTTAGGAAAGGTGGAAGGCAAAAGGAAAAGGGGACGGCCGAGGACGAGATGGATAGAGTGTCACGGAATTAGCGAACGTGAGCTTGGACGGACTTTGAGAGACAGTGGAGAGAGAAGGGCCTGGTGTGCTGTGTTCATGACAAGGAGTTGGACTGAACAACAATTTTCCAGGTCTACAGAAGAGCAGGACCACAGCTGCCGGAGGAAGCCCTTGGCATCTGCAGACCTGGCCTGCTCTGCCATGAGGAGGCCTTACCTGGCTCTCCTGCCTTTCCTCCTTCCAGCGTGGTCAGCGTGACACAGGCCGAGGTCCAGCTCAGCACAACAGTGCTCTCTCTGCTTTTCAGTGCTGCCTATGGGAGGCAAGGCTGAGCCCTCATTAAAATGACTGGCAGCAGGTGCCACCTCCCCCTCTGGCAGCTCCAGTGCCCGGCCTCCCTGATTGGGCTCATGGAATTCCTCTTTCAGAGCACTATTTCCTTCCTCCATCATGGAGAGGGGATGGCTGTCTTCCTCTGCCCATTGGCATTCAGTGCAGGGCTGGTCCCATCTGCTTCCCCAGAAGCAGCTCTCCTCTCATTTCCAGAACATCTTACCCTTAGCTCAAAGGTCGGTGACTCCAATCACTCCCACTCCTCCCTTGTGTATCCAGGACCCAGCCGAGAAGGGCCTGCTGATTGCCTTCTACTACTGGTTCTCCCCCCACGATGTGGACCAGAGTTGAAAGGGCTTGCCAGGGTGGTCTATGTGCTGTGCCCCTCCGTCTTCAGGACCTCCTGACCCAGCCTGCTCACCAACAGGAGGGTGCTATAAACCCAGGATTCCATCCTGGGTCTTGGTTTTCACGAGGCTCACCTTTTCCCTAAAGCCTTCATTCTCACATGTTCTTGTAGGTTCCTGTATCTACAGTTGGGAGGAACCTTGAAGGCCATCTAGAACAGCCCCTTCACTTTACAGATGAGGAAACTGAGGCCCAGAGAGGTTCCATATCTGTCCAAGGTCACAGAAATGGTCCAAGTGATGGGACAGAGATCATCAGTGGTTGTAGGAAGACAATGATGGGGAAGCTGGTAAGGAAACAACATTGGGCTGCTGGACGTGGGTTCTTTCATCTCAACAGCTGATACTGGTTGTCTTTCCTGTTAGAATGTAAGCTCCCTGCGGGCAGGTACTATTTCCCTTTTGCCTTTGTATTCCCAGCACTTAGCACGGAGCCTGGCATGCGATAGGTGCTTAATAAGTGTTTGTTGTCTACTGGCCCTTCACCCAAGTGACTGGGTAATGAGAGGTCCCATTCTCAGCCTCCACTGAAGATGGGGGTGGGATATGCCCTGTGGTATTGGTCAAGATGGCCACACTCCCCACACAGAAGACATGAGCCTTGGTGGGCCCCTTGTGGCTGGGCTGAAGTCTTCAGCTCACCTTTCCTGGCCCACTTCCAGCGCCCTCGTCCCTTCACCAAGCCACAGGGTCACAGAACTGGACAGGGCCTCAGAGGCTACCCTGCCCAATCTCCCTTGAACAAGACTCTCTGGGCCGCATATCCAATGAGCGGCTCTCCAGCCCCTGCCTGCAGATCCCAGTGAAGGGGAAGCCACCACCTCCTGGAGCAGACAGACCATCCCACTTTGGCATGGGCAAGAAGGACTGGCAGGAAGTATTCTCCCTCAGGTCAAGCCTCACCTGGCTTCTTTTTAACTCAAGATCACAGACAGTTCTAGAGCTAGAAGGACCTCAGGCCATCTAACCCAACCCCCTGGTTTTTCAGATGAGGAAACTGAGGTACAAGGCAATTATGAGAGTTACCCAGTCACACAGGTGGTATCAGGGCTAGGGTTCAGACTCTTGTCCTCCTACCACGTTACCATCCTTACTCTTATCTCAGTGTTCCTAGGTATCAAGCAGAACAAACCTGGCCTCATCTCCATGGAATAGAAGTATCTTTAGATACCTGCAGATAGCCGTCATGCTGCCCTCCTTGGAAAAACAAAAACAAAACCTCCCCCGGCTCAACACTGGGCCCAGTGCCTAGAACATACTTAGTACGCTTACTTCCTTCATAAAGGCTTCTTTCCTTCCTTCCTCCTTCCAGCTAAGCCCCCCTAACTCCTTCAGCCAGGACTCATGTCCTATGACCTTAAAGTCCTTTGCCGTGCTGATCGGCCTTCTCGTCAGCATCTTTGACACTGGAAACATATACATCCACAAGCCTAATAATTAAGGGTACCTGAAGCCCAGGCCATGACGTGCTTGGTCCCAACAACCCTATGAAGGCTCCCACTTCCAGTTATGTGGATCTGTGACTTTCTTGACTATCCGTCTCCTCTCTGTTGTAAGCTTATCTCTTCTTCTGGTCTTCCTGACAATCATCTAGCATTATTACAGAATGTCCGTGAGACCTACACATTACTTGAAGAAGGGAACCCTGTCAACTTGGTCCCTTCTTAAAGGTTTTGCCTACCCCCTTCCCAACATAATTAGTATTATGGCAATGATATAAGGGCCCAAACTAGACTCTGCTGTCATTGCTTTTATGTGCTACCCACAAGAATCCTCAGAGTGAGTGTCAGGCTCAACCCTCATGAAAGCTATTGGTAGCACCTGGCACTGTGAAGCTCTCCAAGCTGGACTGTCCTGCCTCTCTGACTGTGGTAACAAGTGGCCATTCACCTTCTTATCAGAACTGCCACCAATTGTGAATTAATGAAGATTTATTCTATCAGGAAAATGACAGCTTACAGCTGTTGTAACTCATGAGTGACTCAAATAAGCAGAATCTCCCTTGTATAAATGAATCCCATGAAGACTTCCAGCAAGATGGTGAAATCATGTCTAAGATTCCCTTTCATCATCTCAAAATAGTAAGAAACGTGCTAACTAAAGTAACCACAAAAAAAAAAACAAGAGGAAAATCTATGTAAGAAAAAGCTCACAGATGAAGACATAGCTTAATGAAATAAATAAAGAGAGGCTCTAATACAATGAATAAATTCTTTGGGATAAAAGAAAGTGAGGTCACATTTCCAGAAAGGAGAAGTGATTCTGTAGTTACAGCAATAGGACCCCAGAAATTAAAACAAAACTACCACACGAATTCCTAGGTGACTGAGAAACTAGTAAGAGAATTAGAGGAAGACTTGAGGTTTTAAAGAAGAAATTAAAAAAATGAACAAGAGGATTGATAGATTAGAAGAGATGGCAGGGAAGCCTAATAAGGCAGAGGCATCCTGAAGAAGAGAATGGGGGAGAGAGATAGAAGGAGAGAGAGAAAAGGAGAGGAAGGGAGAGAGAGAGGAGAGAGGAGAGAGAGACAGAGAGAAGTGTTTTCCTGCCCAGTTTCCAATCCCCCAGATCTGTGCAGGCCTCCAATTACTCTACAAATGGCATGACGTCCCTGAAAATGAATTTCATGCCAAGGGACCCAGGTTTGAATCATGGCTCAGCCACACTACCTCTGTGACCTTGAACAACAAAAAAAAAATTCACACCTTGGTCTCTTTGGGCCTCAGTTTCCTCACCTGTAAAATTGGCTCATTGGACGAGACCACCTGTTAGCACCCTTCAGTTCAAACTCGGTAATCCTTTGAACTTCCAAAAAAGAAATATCATTGCTTCATGAGAAACCTTTCAAAAACACATTTAGAATTTAGCCCCAAACTCCTTTGGGTACAGAATGCTGCCTGAGCATCTCTGTATTCATAAGAAATATACTGAAAGGGGAGCACAGGGACGCCTTTCCCACAATCCCTCGCTCCCCCGGTTGATTCCTCACCTAAGGTCACAATCCTCTGTTTGCCACAAAATAATCATTTCCATAGCAACCCAGGCGGGTGGCTCAAATTGAGGATTAGGATTTGAGAAGAGGAATAAACACGAGGCTGAGGCAACAGCTGAATAATGAAATCGTCAGGCTGGCCTGCTCTCAATGAGGAGGGAAAGGAGAGAGCCCAAGGCAGAGGAGCCAGGCTGGAGAGACGGTCCAGGGATTTCCATTCCAAGAAACTGCCTCCCGAAGAGAGGTCTGCTGCAGGGAACAGCTGTCAGCATGTAGGAAAGGGGGCCCACGAGAACTCCTCCGGCCCCACAACTTCGCACCGAGATCTGGCAGTGTCCCACGGCATTACAAGGGCAGAAGACTTCTCCTTTCTTTCTTAGAGAAAAAAACAAAGGTAACTGGCAGTCAACATGTTTTAAAAGGGAAATCACTTCCATGAGGCAAGGATTCATTTGTTTCCTCCTTCCTTGTACGGTTCCCTAACTCCAATTGCCAAAATATATGAAAAAAAAGATGAACTAAGTTCGTTCCATTTAATTCTGTCATCAAGCATTTATAAAGCACCTACTGTGTGCCGTTTGCTCAGAGGTCATATCCTTCCTGTGTCTTATACTTCTTTGTCAAGTCACTCCAATTCTCTGGGCCTCAGTTTCCTCGACTGTAAAATGCGGGGGTTAGACGGATGACCTCTCAGGTCCCTTCTAAGTCTCGGATTCTATGATCACCAAAGGCCATCTTGAATTTTCCTTTGCTTCGGGAATCGCCGTAGCCAAAAAATCCATCACCAAAGGACGAGCTGTCCGTAATTAGATGAGTCGGTCCTCGGAAAGCAGACACTAAAAGCATTTCCAGCCTGTCAGAACCCAGCAGAGTTCGGGCTTCGCTGGCATCACCCTGGAAAACCCAGAGTCACCTCCATCCCTGGGCAGACATCAGAGCTGGCTTTTATCTCTTATTTTCAGACTCATTTTAAATCTTCCTCTGCATTCAAGGCTCAGCTCCTAGAAGCAACCCTGATCTCGCCCCGGCCTCAGCTGTTAGGTCTCCACCTCCCCAAACTGTCCAGGAATACTGCCCCCATCACCCTTTCTTTGCATTGGACCCATCCCTCAGTGGAATGGAAGCGCCCTGAGGGCCTTTCAGGGTCCTGCTACTAGGCAAATCTCTAAGGCTATGAATTGCAGAGAAAGTGCTGACTTTCCTCCCCTGGGAGTTCCCTGTGCCAATGTTCTGTCCCTATCCCTCTCCTTAGAGAATATTATTTCAATTCATGTTTCATTATTTATGGGGTCGTTCATTCCACAGGGGCTTCATAAAGTGATCATAGAGGGGGGAGGGCCCTTAAGTGCCATCAATTCCAGCCTCTTTCCTTTGTAGACAAAGAACATAGGCCCAGAGGTTCTGGATTTGTGGCCCATAAAAGGATTTGTTTTGTCAAACTTGAACTCAGTCTGAGGACCTAGAAGGCCACAGGCGGCTTCGAAGCCGCAGAATTGGATTAGGCAAGGTGGCCAAGAGTCAGTGAGTGACTGAGCAAGACTTGAACCCAGATCCTCTGGCTCCAAATGACTCTTTCTAGAGCCCCCACCATAAACAATCAGAAATCTAGAGCTAGAAGGGACCTGAGAGGTCATCTAGGCTAACCCCCTTATTTTACAGTCAAGGAAACTGAGGTCCAGAGAGCCTAAGCGACTTGACAAATAAACAGTAAGACACAGGCAAGACACGACCTCAAAGCTACCTCTGGGCACAGGCACACAGTAGGTACTTTATGAACGCTTGATGAATGAATGAAATTGAACGGGATTTTCTCGGCAAAGATACTGGAGAGGCTTGCCACTTCCTTCTCCAGAATCATTTTACAGATGAAGAAACTGAGGCAAACAGAATTAAGCCCTTGCCCAGCGTTGCACAACTAGTAAGTGTCTAAAGCCAGATTTGAACTCATGAAGGTGAGTCTTCCTGGTTCCAGGCCTGGCGCTCCAGGTAGTATGACACCACCTAGCTGCCCCCAAATTGGGGCATAGCAATATGAGAGGATACGAAGAAAGGCCAAATTTGAGGACTTCAAAGAAGCATGAGATGGTTTATGTGGACTGAAGGAGGAGGAGCCAAGAAAACGGCACCCACAACGACCATAACAAGGTAACTGGAAGGAACAGTAACCACAGCAAAGCCCAAACTGGAGTGCTGTGTAATTCCAGTAAAAAGCTCAACCCCACAGAAGGGATGAGAAAATGTACCTTCCTCCCTCCTTCACAAAGGTGGGGGACTACAGGTGCGGAACACTGCACATACTGTCCAACTCAGTTTTGGGGTGGTTTTCATGGTTTTGCTTAACCCTTTCCCCTGCCTTTTTCTTTTTTATTCTCGGTTACCATGAATGGGCTTGTGGGTGAGGGAATGATGCATTCAGAAATGAATGGGATATTAAAACCAAAAGATATCAATAAAAGTTAAAATTAATAGAGATGAGTAGAATAGTACCACAGTCACCCAGGTAATCACTGGCTGCACCTGGGCTTGAGCCTCCCTGTCTTCTGATTCAGCCTCTAGGGCTCTTTCTGACACACTACCCCCTGCCAGCTGAGAGAATGATTAAAAATGATTAGAAAGGACTAATAGTTCACATATATCCACACCTTCCGAAGAGCTTCCCAGAACATCCTCTCATCTAGCGCCCCCACCCTGCGAGGTAGGTTGCGTCGGCATCATGATCATCCCCGTTTTACCGATGAGGGAGGGTGGGTCTGAACATCTTGTAGTTCCGTGAATCCTCTTAGCAAACCTTCTCTGCACAGAGAGTGCGCCAAAGTCCCAGCGGAATGAGCCGGGCTTTAAATCACGAGGTCTCTGGCTCTCTGGCTAGCATCATTCCGTTCTGCAAATGTATCTGAGTCATCTTGAGTTGGAGAAGAAACGCTAACTGCAATGAATCCAAAGGTTTCCTGGTAGTCGGGGCAAGCTCTCTTTGCAACTAGACTGAAAAGGGCAGAATGGCCTCTCTGGTTGCATGCAGATTCATTAGTCCCTGTCTCTGCTCTGGCCATCACTAAGCTCATGGCCTTGGCAGAAAAGGATCAGAGCCACAGAGCTGAGAGGGACTTCTCCCCCCACCTGCCCCAAGCCCTCCCTAGGGTGCTGTCTGAAACACACTGGAGCAGTGAGTCACCCAGGCTTTACTGAAGACCTTCAGTGAAGGGGAGCTCACTACCTCCCGATGTGGCCTGCTCCACTTTAGGACAGCAACAGCGGTTGGAACATTGTTCCTTACATCAAGACGGATTTCACATTGCTCCCTCTCCCCTCACTCTCTGTTCCAGCCAAAATGGCCTCCTTTGCCTTTTCCCAATGACTAGAGTACCAGATTTGGAGTCAAGGGACACGGGTTCATATCCTGGCACCAGCATCTAATGCTTGTGTCACCTTGGATGGATCTTGATCCTTTCTGAATTCTTGCTTTTCACCTGTAAAATGTTGGAGTTGGACTGGATGGTCCAGCTCTAGGCCTTTGGTCCTATGACCCTCTGCCTGGGCGGCCTCCCATGCACAGAACGTTCTGCCTCCTCCTCTTGGAAGCCCATCTTCTATAAGAGGCCTTCCCTCATTCTCCCACTTGTTAACGCTCTTTTCCTCTCTCTGAAATTACTGTTTACTTGTGCAAGAGTGGGGACTGATTGAGTAAATTGAGTCCCTCCACTTAAAATAAATAAAGTGATAAAATGCTACTCCCTGTTACCTTAAGCAGGTGAGAACCCTTCTCTGACTCTTTTTGCGCTGCTTGCTCATGATCCCAGCCAATTACTTGAGTTTTAAACTCCTTGTTAAGGTAAGAATTTGCTTCCAATGTGGAGAGTGTACTGTCCCAAGCTTCAGGGGTTTGTACAGCTGTTTTCAGAGATACTTGTAGGGACCTGTAAACTTTCAGTTCTTCCAAGGTGGTATGATAAGGGGCGAGGTGTTTACTCCTTTCCTGGCACCACAGGTATTCCTTTCTGTCCTGTAACTGTGAGGAGGGGTTCCTCTCCACAGCCACTACAAGCTCCTCCACACCAGCGCTCCTCCTCACCCCAGCACCGCCACCCAGAACTGTGACCCACATCCAAACACAGTCAAAGCAAGAGATTCCTGCCTCAGCACTGGCAAAGAGATCCCTGCAGTCCCTCTCTGATCAGCCACTGGATTCCCCCTTAGTCTGTGGGCCGGAAGCTCGGGAAGCAGCTGCCCCCCTCCCCACAGGACCACACTCTTGGGGAATGAAGCTAAGACCCCACCTTTCTGTCTCAGCACAGACAGAAATAAACTTTTCCCACTGACCTTCTACGTTGTCTTTGGCATTCGTGGATCGAGGAGTTTGGAAACCTCCACAGCTGCCCGCGATTCAGTCCTCTGAGGCCTGCTCCAGGTTCGCTGCGGCCTGCGCGCCCACGCCATGCTGAGCTGCGCTCCCAGCCCTGCATGATACACCTTTCTGATCGATCATCCAGGTTGTCTTGGGCTGGAAATTTGTTTCACTCTGTCTTTTTGGGGTTCTGCTGCTTCAGAATTTGTTTAGAGCCATTTTTTATGAGTATTTGGAGGGGTTTGGGGGAGACCTCAAGCAAGCCACTGCTTTCACTCCACCATCTTGGCTCCACCCCCAGGTGAGAACCCTTCTCAATCAAGCAATCAAGCAATTTGATCACCAGGTTGACTGTTGCAGGAGAAGAGCTTTCTGATTGGCTGAGGAAACTCATCAGCTGCCTGCTGGCTGGTATAAAAAGCATGGCACACTTCAGTTTAATTAGCTATTTCAGAACCCAAGAGATTCAAGGCACCAGAGAAGGAAAGAGTACTCCAGCTAAGCCCCTGGGAAAGAATCAATTGGGGAAGAGGCACAGAGCCCCAGGCCTCAGTCTTGGCCTCCTTAATACCACCCCACCTTGACTGGAGGATGACTTCCAGTGGGCA